AATAATTTATTGAAAGGGTTCTAAGAAAAACAAAACTTTAGAGTATGTTTGTAATCTTTGTTATTGGATCAAAATGTTGTTTGTGTATCTGAAGATACGAAACTTATTTCCAGCTCTAAGAATTTTCTCTTATGTTTTCTAACCTTGGGCAAACATTTACAATAATAAGATTTTAATGTACTTAAATGATATTTTTTATTACACTTAATTCTATATGATAAAAAAAATAATACTTTTTCCTGAATTTAATTTAAGTGATTCAAAAAACAGGCATTAAATGGCCACAAAAATACAAAGATTTATAAAAGGAAAACGCTTTGTGAAATGTCGCAATTGGAAGGAAGATAATTGATAGTATACATATCTTAAGTATTCTATTAAGGATAAGGCTATTATATGCCCGGCAAAAGGTCATTTTAATTGCATTGTTTTTTTTTAATGTACTTGTTTTTCGAATCCGAGCAATAAATTTTATATATTTATTTTTCAAACACTTAGGATAGATTTGTAAAAATCATAAACATTTTTATAAGTTTTAAGAGTTTTTTATCTGCTTTCTCTATTAACGTTTAACAGCCTAAAGCTCATTTTCACTTTTATTTTGAAATAAAAAGCGTTTTTAAAAACGTTATATGTTTGAAAAAATAAAATATAATGTAATAAAAATAAAATAATATAATAATAAATTATTAATATAATTTATTATTATAGTAATAAATTATATAATACTAAAAAGTATAGGCAATATTTCAAATTCTAAATCCAAGCATTTTTATACGACTTTAAGACTGTAGTTCGTGTATTTTAAAATCATTTCTACAACTGAATCGAAAGCTTCGAAATTCTTGAATAAAAATGTCGAAACAAAACACTAGAATCATCCTGTAATTTTTATTTTTTTAATTTATGTTAAACGTCGATGTATCAGTTTATACTTTTAAATAAACTAAAACGTCAATGACAAAAACGCAATAATAATAAGTTGTCTGATATGAATTTTTGCATCAGAAGATTAAAATGTTTTAAGTTCTGTAATCTCCTATTATATATCGAATTAACTATTACAAACACTCTGGTTTTATGTGAATCATTTAATAATATTTAATCATTAATAATCACTTAATAATTGCGAATCATTTAATAATTTTTATAAAATTTACGATTTTTATATTTAAGAATGAGATAAATTATATGAGTTTAGTTTTTATTTTCTATTGTAAGACCTTTAAAAAGTATTTAAGGTCAGACAAAAACTACATTTACTCATTGAGTTTAAAAATCATTACAAGGCAAGCTTATTTTTGATTCAAACGTATATGTTTTATATTTATTTAAATTCAAACTTAACTCTTTGGGTTATAAAGGTAAAAACTGATGAATCAGAGATTTTTCTAAATATAATTTGGTATTCGAAGTAAGATTTAGTAGCAATATAAATAAATCCAACATAAAAGGGAAAAAAGGCTTGAAGTTCTTAATTTTTAAAGATTATCTATCCCAAGAAATGTTAAAAGATCGATGCCATTTAATATTTCAATTCCTTCAAACTTGAAAATTAATAGATTATAGGTGGTGAAAAATAAATGACCCTGATATAATCAATTTTTGCAAGTGATTGCATTTTGTAAGAAACAATTAAAAATTGTGAGAAAATTTTAGTTAAAAACTAAATCATCATATGTCTTAATAGGTCCGATACTTATTTCTTATCAATCATCTGTTAAATGTGATATGTTTTTTTATCGTTTAACTTTGTATACATAAAATATTTTATTGCAGAATTTTAGAAATAATAATTGATGAATTTATTTATCAATATTGGATCTTCCCCTCCAGTTTTTGAATACTAATTAAAGATAAAAGTATCAGATAATTTCAATGAGAATTGTTAGAAAATATTGAAATATTAATCGAACAGAATGTGAAAATCTTTAAAAAGCTCTCCTGTGCAAATCAAGATATCTAATCAAATTTATACAGCATCATTGTTCAATTGATTGATTTTGAATGATCATTGATTTATCAATTTTTCTTTCAATTTTTTTTATGAAAATAAGCGTTTTAATAAATTTTGGAAAGTAATTAAAGAATCATTTCAGTACATTTTTCCTCTTCAAATACAATCAATTTTTAGAGGTTAAAGCTCAGATAAATTTTAATTAATCGAAATTTTTCTTATCATGTCTTATTAGTACTAATTGTTTTAAATTTTTCATTCATTTTTGAAATTTAAAATGATATTGTATCAACTGTAAGACAGTGTTTCATGTTATTTTCAAAATTAATATAAATCAATCCTATCAATAAATTATCAATATTCCTATCAATAAATTTCGTTTTGAATAAAAATTGTTTAAATTTCTCTTAGGAATTCAAAACTTATTTAAAAATTGTATTAAAGTCGATTAAAACAATCATTTAATCCAATCAAAAGAGGTTTGTAATAATTTACATACAAACATAATATTTAAATATCGTAAAATCCGGCGTACAACACACACTTTGAACACAAAAATAAGATCGAAATTTTCGGGTGTGCGTTATACGCCGGGTATAAAAATGAGAGCTTTAAAAATAAAAAAAGTGTGTGTTTACTTATGTGCGCACGTAAGAAGTTATACTTCTTTGGCGTAATAAGATTAAAATATTTCTAAAAATCTTTAGCGGGGCAAGCTGGGCCAAGGGCTAAAGGCGGTCACGAACAGAGTTGAACGATACTAACCTTCAGTCAATTGGACTAGCCAAACCTGAGGTAAACACGATTTAAATAAATTTCAATACTCCCGCAGTAGGAGGACCAATAAACAATTTGGACAATAGAATCAATAACGTGGGGCGTATCAGACTGTATCTGGAGATGAAGTGAGCCGAATGTGACATCTGGGACCTCATATTGAATGTTTCGGCGGGAAGAATCGTTCCTGAGAAAATTAAAATATCCGCCTGAAGAGCCCTCGAGTTATGGTCATTTGAAAATAATTAAAATATTTAAAAATTAGAGGCAGGGCACCCAACAACTCGAAACTGGGCCTGGTTGTGAGTAAACGCAAGAGGAATCCATTACAACCGGTCCGGAGTCTGTAGTTGCAAATGGGGAGGCGCTAACTCGGGAAAGGAAAACGAAAGTAACTCCCCCCGGAGTGCAACAACTGTGACTTAAATGGTCACGTACATCCCGAGGATACACAGAGTAGTAGGTGGTCCCAAAGTTTCCTTTTTCTGTCTCTGTAATATCATTACGTCATCAAAAATCGAACCCCACAGGAAAAACTTAGGGATACTAATTTTAGTGATAATGCCCTAAGCCCTCTATCTACACACGAATTATAACAGATGAAACAGCTCAACGAGGAGAGTCTATGGTCCGAGTTTCATTAACGAATCTCAAAAATCCTCGGAGCTATGCGGGATTTAAAAAATATTATAACTTTAAAATAATTTTAAAATGTTAAATATAAGTAAAGAAATGGGGCTATATAGTCCTGAAAAAATATATCTAGGATGCTCATAGGAAGAACAAACGAGTCCAGCTCTTGCGGTCAACCAAGGTGGCATAGGATTCGAGTTATTTCTGGGAAAGCCCTGTAGGGGGGAGAGGGCCAGTTCCACGTAAAGATTGCGCAAATATAAAGGACCTCCAAAAACGAAGTTCCAGGATCAATTCCTTGGGAGGGGTGAAACCTTTTCCAGTTCTCATAGGATTAACATGGGAGCATTATATTTTACTGCTTAAGCCCTCCCCATGGCTACAAAATGGGAATGAAGCATATGCCTGGATTGGTTTCGACGAGTGGAACACTTGGTTCAAATCTCATGCCAAAGACTCGAACAGGAGACAAGATATTGCGAATTTAAACAAATTTAAAAAGTTTAAGACAAAAACTATGGAAAAAATAGCCCTATGAGCAAGAAATTATAAGTGGAAGAGCAGATAGAGAGGGATCGAATGAGCCAGGTCCTCATGGACTGTGAGGCTCCGGTGCCGAGATATTGGTAAGGTGTAGAGGGGGAATATACAGGGGGGATGCGTCCCAACAGATATGGTTTATAACAATAGTTATTATGATCCCCAAATATATCAGTCTCATAGCACCAAAAAAGTGGCATGTTAAAATATAAGACAACGGTGTGCGGGCGCGCATCGGTGTCGTGAAGGTATGCGCACGCATCCGTGACGGTGTGCTTGCGCATAGTAAAAATTTACCCTCATCCTTTTTCCCTAACGCCGAAAAAGAAGGATAACTCTTCAAAAATAAATATACCAATACAAAAGGCTCTTATAATTTGCTACAATGTAATGTGTTTATATTCATCGCAATGCGTTCGTAGTAAATACATCTATAATGAGATACTTGCAGTTGCTATTTAAATAGGTAAACTAATATTTACTCTTATGTTTTATGTACATGAAACACAATTTAAAGATTAATTTACTATTTTTTTAAATTTCCTGTAAGTATGTTTGGTTTAATAACAAAAAGTGTTCAAACAAATGAATCAGAGAAGATCCGTAGGCGAAGGACGATCTCTCCCTACTTGCAGTGACGTCACAAATCAGCTCAAAGCAAAGGTTTGCAGACCCGGGGAGGGGAAGGTGTATAGCTCAGTGGTACAGAGTTCGACTGCTAATCGAGAGTTCCTCGGTTCAAACCAAAGTGTCCCCTTTTTCAGGGAAGTGTAGAGAAATATTTTTTGAGAAATTTGAAGTCTGGAATGATCTGTCTCGTTCAAAATATTTCTAATCAAACATTTTCGTATCCGTTCCTACGAAACGCAAAGCAAAGGATCGCTGACACGGGGTGGATAGCGCAGTGGTAGAGCATTTGATTGCAGATGGAGAGGTCCTCGGTTCAAACCCGGGTGTCCTCCTCTTCTTCAGGAAGTGAAGTGAAGAGAAATATTTTCTTGGAATTTGGAATACGGGAATGATCTGTTTATTTCTAGACAAAGTATTTTCGTATCCGTTCCTACGGAACGCAAAGCAAAGGCTCGCTGACACGGGGTATATAGCTCAGCGGTAAAGAACTCGACTGCAAATTGAGAGTTCTCCGGTTCAAAACCGGGTGTGCTCTTATTCAGGGAAGTGAAAAAAAAAACTATTTTCCTGAGATTTCGAAGGCGGCAATGATCTGTTTCGTTCTGTATATTTCTAGACAAAGCATTTTCGCATCCGCGACGGTTTTGCGTCACATCCGTGACGGTGTGCGCGCGCATCGTAAAAATTCACCCTCATCCTATTTCTCTAACGCCCCAGAAGAAGTATAACTTGAAAAAATTAGCATAGAAAAAACTAGATCTCTACATAATTTAAAATATTGTTTATTTAAAAGAAATGAGAGAGAGAAGACACACATTCATTATGAATTTAAGGAGTTTTTAATTCTAGAAATATACTACTTTTTCTAAAGCTTGGAGTAATACCTCGAAGAAATGGCTTCAAAACATAAGAGCATTGCGCACGTAAATTTAATTTTTCTTTACAAAAAAGAAGTTGTGCGTTATACGGTGAATATCCCTAAAAGAAATTGCAGTTTGAAAGTATAGGGATGCGTGTTATACTTCGGATTTTACGGTACTTTTTTCAATAACACATTTCATTTTTTTAACTATGGGTATTATATATATATATATATATATTTTTGCGAAAAATTAAAAATAATACCATATCCTATGCACACAGATACGAAATACTGAAATGTGCACTGAACAGAAAAAGAAAGCAGAAAACTAAATTTTCCAATCAGACACACAACGTTTTCTTAAACTAAAATTATATTGTGGGCTTAAAAAATATGTGGCTATACATTCAAAAAGGAATTAAAAATAAACAACGGAAACGGTTTTCATTTCCGATTTTTGTGTTTCATAAGGGGAACATTAAAGCTCTTGTTTAATGAAATGCAAACTAAATATATATATAGTTCAACGTCCCCGTATTCCAACATTCTAATTACTAAAGAGTTTCTCCCCGCAAGAGCAAGGACAAGTTTTAGCATGGTTTATCAAGTTCAAATCAGCAACACAACGACAGTGAAAATTTCGTACTACCTATAAGCGAATTCCACCTTCAAAATCCACAATTTATATGTGGCATGAAAGATTTATGATGATAAGTAGCGTATTGTCCAAAAAAAATGATCTCCCAAGCAGAAGCCGAGCTAACGTTAATCGTAAAAGCCCGATGTGCGTAGCGTGACTAATAGTGCACACATTGGAATCATGTAAAAAAAAGTAAGGGAAACTTTACCGTTTTCTTTATGGAGCATAAAAATGTAAGTGAACATTTTTGTTTATTTGTAATTAAAAGTTGAAAGTATATCCATACTTTTAGGTTACCTGGTACTTCAAATTGTATGAACTTTTGAACTTGAATTAAAATTTAAAATATTCCTAATATTTTGAGCTTTTTTTAAAAATGTCGAGGTAGAAGTAAAAAGGTCATTGATATTTATCTGTAAATCTCGGATATTTAATGACATAGCTGAATTTTTAGCAGAAAACATGGCATATACTAGAAATATCATAAATGGGCATATAGATTTTTTTAGCTGTTTAGGAATGTTCCACAGAAATCATACTTCTTGATTTGTTTTTTATCTTGACAAGTACATATTGTTTCGAAATTGAGCGTTTTTGCAGCTGTCTAAAATTGTTATCTTATTATTGTAACGCACATATACATTGAAAATTTAAATTAGTCGTATATGTATGTTCGATTTAGTAGCTTCGGTGAGAAGTCTTTGCAAACATGGTAGGTAAAGATATGATTCACATTATCAAACGTGTTTGACAAAAGTGTTGGAGCTTGTAATGACTTTTTTACTGAATAAATTCCCTAGCATCCTAAGTAAGTTGATGAGTGCATGAAATTAAATCTATAATAGACATAAATATCTATAGCAATATATTATATTTCTTCTATGCCTTTCTAATTTAATCCTAAGCCGATCTAAATAAAGTAAAAATTACTTCTTTTTTACTTCTCCATATCATGCTATAAAACCACCACAACTTGCTTTTCTACATAATTTCTAAAATCATTCACCGCGTTCGAATTAAGCTTCTAATAAACGAGCGTCTAGTGTAACCAACACAATAACACACTGACTAAATTTTGATTTTACAATATTCTTGGTTACATAAATTATTTTCACAAAAAGTCCCCCAAAATGCACCACTTCAACATTCTACCAATCATATTTTAGAGAGTCTATCTTACACACAATCACACGTAAAACCTGCATTCTGCATGAACTATGAACATAACTTTTAGGGAAACAAAGTTCAGGTTCTAGACTCCTAGTGTTTTTCAATTCCTACTATCAGCTCGCACTGTCTATATATTTATTTATTTATATATTTGTATATTTATTTATTTATCTTGGTGGAATTTTCAATCTTTAATAAAATACATTTTAAAGCGCTGAATTGAGCTGAAATTTTATATACAGGATCATTTTGGATGACAATACAATAATTTAATTATAATTAATAAAAATTAATTGAATAAAACTAATTATTTAAAGAATTACAAATACAGCCACGTTGGCGACTTAGCGACCCTTCTGGCGACTTGTGTCAAAATTTGAAAAGGTTTTTTTTCTCACGTGTTGAAGCATTCAGTTGGACTGAATTAAAAGGACAATACGATACTTTAATGACAATTAAAAAAACTAATTACCACTTAATGTTGTGATTCTGTCCTATGTATATACATATTTATATTAATTGTAACGATTTAATAAAAAGTAGCTAAAATAAAATTTTTCATTGTTGATCTAAGTAGGAATTGACTTAAAAACTATTTTTTTATATTACTTGTTAAAATATGTTTATTTTAATTATAATAAAAATAAAACCAAAATAAAAGAAATTAGATTGAATAAATTTGAAATTATATCTAATTTTCCGGGCAGTAAAATTATACGTTTCCGACAACACATAAAATAATAGTATAGAATTCAAGATAGATCCCTGGATAGAAGTCAAGCTGTAATTTCCAAGACCACGAACAGCAATAATTCATAAATGCCGCTGAAGAGCTCAACTAGCAAAATGCGCAGGCCCTGAGAGCGCATATCGATTATAGAAAACAAGCTAAACTTTCCTAATTCTGTTATCCCATATATAACATAGAATTTTTTACGGACAAAAAAAACATGTGACTAAGCCTTAAACGGTAACTGAGCAATATTAATGATAGAGATATAACCCAAAGCTACATCAACTCATAAGATGCTCTTGATTTTATCGATTAAAACGGGGGTTTTCAATTAGTGTCCAGCGGCTAATGTATCTCTCGCGTCTAGCTCTCGATTGAAACAGGTTTTAACTAGTCTACACCGACACGATTCGACGGAATAGATAAACACATCTTTATTCGGCCGGTCTTTAGGAAAAAGCCTCTATATGTATTTCTTTGATTTGTTATTTTACTAATAGATCCAAATAAATCACTACAAGGGATTTTCCAGTTTTAAGTATGGTCTCGAAACACAAATAATTCAGATTTCAGGATGTTAATGGATGGAAGTCATTATAACCTCTTTTTTTATAACTATCTAAAAATCTGTTGAAAAATAAATTTATCTAAACAGTGAAACATTTTTCAATTCAAAATGTCCTAATTTAAGAAGAAATGCTGGAAATATAATATTCAGTATTTGAAATATGTATTTACTCTCTCTCTCTCGCTTACAAAACAATCATTACTTTGTAAAAAAAGCTTTGCCAAATGAATCCATGAAGACTTCTAAGTTACAAGAACATTTGAATAAAATGTATATTAACGAAAAGTACAAATATTATTCTTATTTTCAAGGAACGAAAAAAAATAAAATACTTAAATAAAGGAATTACCTTAAATTTTTTGCACCATCCTCTAAACAATAGGATTATGACCTACGAGCCTTATATAATAATTTACAATATATCACAAAACAAGTAAACAATACATAACTGACGGGAAACTAATCTTTTTGGCAGCCAAAGAAGTACGGAAACTGTTCTTTCTCAAAAGACACCATCAGATATCTTTCAAAAACTTGCTTTTTGATTAACATATAGGCATGTAGGTCATGACCCCCATAGGCTGTTGAGCCACTGAGTTTAGTTTTAAGTCACGGAAAACTGATTCCGGAAGTACAATGATTTATTATACCAGTCTCATTCTTTATTTTTTATTTATTTATTTTATTTTATTTTCTGCTTCACACCTTGTATATTTATTTTCGAATAAGCATACAATGAAAAATTTCTGTTAAAAATTAAAATGACTGATTAATACAAAAGCGAATTGATCAGTGATTTCAAATTCGTAAAAATTTCTTGCTATCTTTAATATATTCATTTCTTAAATGTTGAACAAAAATTTATAAATTGTAATACGGCACTTAATAAAATATATTTTAACGAAAGGGAAAAATTAATTTAAAATTAACACGCACAATGCTTAACAGTTTTCTTAAAATATAAACTTAGTAATACTCAGTAAAGTAATACTTAGAACGTTATAATCCAATGACACAAAATAATTTATTAACAGTAATATATTGACACTTTTTTTTCAAATATACACAAAACGTATGCATGGCTTCAACAAACATTTGTTCATTATTAAACAGAAATAAAAATACGAACAAAGATGAACGTTTTCAAAATAAATATGCATCATAGAATATGTGCAAGATGTCCACAAACGAGTAATTAACTACAACAAAATAAAGAACAGGCATTTTATGACATATTAAATACAATACATTTGTTCGCTATTTCATTCCATCGCCTTCTATCTCATGAGATCCTTTTACATTCAATCTGTAATAAATTTCCTTTGGACGTAACCAGCTATATGAGTTGTCAAATACGACAATATCTAAAATGGATAAAATTAAGAATTGATTATTGAAGTATATAAAATATTTGGTGAATAAAAACAATCTGAACTAAGGTTAAAAAACACAAAATAAACAGATGATTTTATGTGACGAGCAGTATATGAACACAATTCATCATACATGTGATATATATATGTCATACATACACCATACATCATCATCATACACATATCATA